ATAGTCCAGCACCATATCGTCTTATAACACTATGTCCTCCAAAAGCATTAGTATCACTTGGTATGCTTCATGTGTATTAAATGATATCTCTTATGCTAGCTTTCATTTTTCTTTTTGTTTTGTTTTGCTTTTAGCATGAATTCTTTCGTTCATTGTTCTGCAAACATGAAATAAAAAGATTTTAGATCCATAGAGAAAAATAATAATTCTATAGGAAGATAAAGAATAATCAAAAGTTGTTTGTATTTGAAAAATTTGTTTTTATTGATAATAATGTGCAAAACCATCACGAGTTATTTTTTTTTCTATTAAAAAATCCAAATAAAATTAAATAAAACATATAAATTGAAAAGACAAAATCTTGAGAATCTTTGTGTTAATTAGAAGTGTTTATTAAGTCATTCAGTAATTAGTTTTTTGTTATCAAAATAATATAAGACTGAAGTTTACTTCCTAAATGTTTAATACTTAAGGGATCAATATTTGATGAAAATGATGAATTATTTAGAGGGTAATAATGAATTCAGTAATCTATTAATACAAAAGAAAAAATAAATCGTGGTTTTTTGCTGACAAATAAAAATTAAAAACACAAACAAGTATTCAAATGAAAGATGTCATATGGCAAAATTAGAATAAATTTCAACATAGAATAATAAAGAAAAATATTTTTTTTTGTTTTGCGTATAAAAGTCTTTTAAATAAAATCCATTATATTTAACGAATCTGAAATTGATGCACCACTTTTTCCAAATCCTGCTCAACACTTTTTTGGTCAGATTGAATCTTAACATGTTTACTAAGCAGTTGCGGATTGGAAAAATTTTTTAATTCATATCAGAAATTTTACAAAAAAAAGGAAAACAAAATACGATTCCATTAAATTATTAAGTATTAAAGAGATTAATTTCTAAACTTTTGGTTCAAAATATTCTCTTGAGTAGGTTAAAGGTAGTATATATGATTTTTTGTAGCTGATGAATTTTGCTTTACAAGCTATGCTCTTTATTTTCATATATTGTTGGAGTAAATTTGTTTTTTAAACTTATATTTCATCTTTAAAAGGTCAATGTGTTCATTGGTTGGCTGATGGTACATTTCGAAGTGCACCACAGAAATTTCTTCAATCATATTCAATTCATGGTCGTACAGATTGGGGTATTCATTCATTTGTTCATGTTGCAATGTGTGATAAAAAACAAGAACAATATGAACTACTTTTTCGAGGTTTAATTGATTTTGCTAATCAAAATGGTATTAAATTACAATCTATAAGTATCATGTTGGATTTCGAACAAGCTGCATCAAATGCATTTCTCTCGGTGTTCAAACAAAGTTCAGTTCTAGTTGTCATTTTCATTATTGTCGATCAGTATGGTGTAAAATTCAAAAACTTGGTATAAGATTTATTTTAATTTTAAAAATTCCCTTTATTTGAGTTTTAACATCCCTTATATATTCCCTTGTCCTTAGGTCTAGTTAAATCTTTTCAAGAAAAAAAACCAAACGAGAATTAGCAAATTTATTTGGACTTCCACTATTACCTTTAACATCTGTTTACAATGCTTTTGAAAATATTGCTTCAACATTACTTCGATGTATAAACGG